AAAAAAAACAAAGTTTGAAATTAGGCCTCTAAATTAAAATTCATGTATATGAAGAGTCTTGATGGGGAAAAATATTTAATTTATGAATATAACTATAGATATGAATGCYATTTTGTTGTTTTATTTCTATTACTTTTATAATATGAATAATAATATGAATAATAGTATTATTGAGAACTTGCCAGTATTTTTGTACATTATTTAATTTAATCCTTAAAATAATCCTGTAAAGTAACTCRTATATTTCCCATTTTATAGAAAAGGAATGATAATGCTTACAGAAGTTGCATACAATCAGTGGTATTAAGATGAGACATTTACCTTCCTTGCCCACCCTCGAAACCACGACTGTAGTGTACCCAATATATTGAGGAATAGTGGTTAAGAACATAGAACCAAACTACTGAATTTGAATCCCAGTTCTGCAAGCTGTTATAGATTATTTGGCCTCTCTTTGCTTTACTTTCTTCAACAGTAAAATGAGTATAGAAAAAAATAATACTCATCTCAAAATGTTCCTGTGAAGATTAAATGAGTTAATATACTTAAAAGTTCTTGATACATAAACATACCATGCAAGTGTTAGCTATTAATGGTTTCTTATTTTTATGTTAGAATGATTATTTTTTGAAACCATGCAAATTTCAGTATGAATGTAATAGTATCATAGTATCATTAAATAAAGCATGAAAAACTAATCCTAGATTTATTAGTATCAAATTTGTTTTATTCTAAAGTACATCTTCCTCTCAAGAAGGATRTAAAATAGTGTAATTAGATCTTGCCTTACTCATTATCTTACCCTATGACTAACTGTAACAGATAAGTTCTCTTTCATGAGAGAGTCTTGCTAAAATGGTCTTCTCTTTAGAAACTTGCTTTTATTTACTTCAAGATATTCTTTTTTAGAGATTTTAGCTTTAATTTGTTTTATGTGGAACTTTTGAAGTGGTTAGGAAAGTAAAAGATTAATATGCATATAAGATTCAAATATGATAGGAGTAACAAAAAATTATCTCATGAAGTCCTTTGTACCTGTGGCAGATACTTCAAAGATTTGGCTCTAAGCTGTCTTTACGGTTGGGCAGTTTTAAAGGTGTATGCTTATTACAACTTTTAATTTCATTCTGTTCTCTTCAAGTATGAGAAAACTACTTCAGCAGTTTATGATGTAGAAAACTGTATACACACATTGTTGGAGCTTTTGCAGATGTACCGAGAAAAGCCTGGTGACAAAGTTGCAGACAAGGGTGGAAGCATTTTCACAAAAACTTGTTGTTTGTTGGCTGTTTTGTTGAAGACAACAAACAGAGCCTCTGTAAGTATTGATCAGTTACTTTTCTTTGAGCTTATTTTCTATGTTCTTTTATGTATAGATTTTATGTTTTTCCTTTAGTAACCATTACACTAAAATAGTATTTTGTATGTGATCAAACTTGGGTTTTTTTTGTTGTTGTTTTTATGTTTTGTTTTTTGTTTTTGTTTTTGTTTTTTTTGCCTAGTATCAGTGTGTGTGTGTGTATATATTCATTGTTTCATTTTGATATTAAAGAAACTGAATTCTGAAAATAGAATTTATTTCAGTCATGTAAATAAGAATTTCCTACTTACTAGAGAGTATAACAAATTAYCTTAGCAGGRTAGGAAATAAGATATGTATAATTCTCTATCCACCTATCATAACCATAAAYATGTCTCAAGCTTTTCTGTGCTGAGACAKCTGAGTTATTCTCTCCAGGTATCACAATCAACATAAGAGTAACCAGAGCCCTGCCTTTATCCTGATAACTGTGGAAACCTCTGAAGCATTTTAAGCAAGAGAATAATATTTTCCTATTTAAGTTTTAGCATCACCCTGGCTACTGACTGAAGAATGAATTTGTGAGAGCATGTATAGATATGGGGAGACCATTATAGGAGGCAAATGTAGATATGTAGTGGCTAGACAAGAGATTGTGCTTCACCTARGGTTGTGTCAATGAGAGGTAAGTGGATGATTCTAGAAAGTTGGAAGAGGTAAAATTCATAGGACTTAGTAACTAGATATGACAGGTTATATTGAGTATAGTTCCTTTTTGTATTCAGTATCAAGTTAAATGTACAATTTTTGAATATTTCTCCTCTTTATAATTGTCTTACATATTATTTCACAATTTAAAATAATTTGCCTACTATGCTTAGAGAGCCGTGCTCTTGATTGTTAAAAGCTCGAAAGCCTACTGCATAGTATTCAAATGATTGATTTTGTTATTCTAGGAGAGATTGAATTCTTATTAGGTTTTAGTAAATGTACACTTTCTTTTTTAGGATGTACGAAGTAGTCCCAAAGTTGTTGACCGCATTTATAGCATCTACAAACTTACAGCTCGTAAACATAAAATAAATGCTGAAAGAATACTTAATAATCAAAAGAAGAATTCTTCCATGGGCATTCCCATTATTCCAGAAACACCAATAAGGACCAGAATAGTTTCAAGGTAAGCAGTTAATTGTATTCTGTAATTTCATGTCACCATTCATTTAAATAAATACTTGTTAACACTATCATAAGCAAGATATTGTTCTTAACCATAGAGAAACAACATATGAATAAGAATAGATTATTCCAAAAAAAAAAAAAAGAAAAGAAAAAGAATAGACTATTCGGTAAATCTAAAGGAATCGATTTCACTAAATAATGAAATAATACTGATGTAGCTTTGGRTATTTAGTAGCTATTCAACAAATTCCTTATGTTAAATAGTTCAGACCTAATGCTAAGAACCTTGTTATATCAGTTTTATTTTCCATGTTAATCTCTATTTTTATGTGGTGCTGAGGATCGAACCCAGGGCCTCATACATGCTAAGCGAGTGCTCTAAGGCTGAGCCAAACMCCAGTCTAATCCAGGATGATTTTATATCAAGATCTTTTACTTAAGTATATCTGCACAAAAAGAAAAAAAAAAAAATCTGTTTTCTTTTTTTCTAAATAATGTAACATCACAAATTCTGTGACTAGACATAGATRTATCTTTCAGGGTCACCATTTAGCCTGTTATAGACCCATAAAGATAATTGTGGTTTACCTAGTTTATGTTACTTTTTTTTTTTTAAGGTGTGTTTGTTTATGTGGTTACTCCCCATGATCAGGAGTAGAAATCATATAGAGCTGCATCTTGAACTACAAAGTGCTTAAATTTGGTTGTGCAGCGTAAAGCTTTGTGGTTCAGGAAGAATGACAATGAGCAAACAGATTAATGAGTAAAATAATAAAGATAGTGACAACTACTAAGATAAAGAGAATGGCCGAGAAAGCATCATGTGATTTTTAAGTCCTGGAGGGTGAGTTGAGGAGAGGATAGCACAGAGTGGGCRGGAGTGTTGCATCATGGCATGGCTTTTGTTTTGAATAAGCTTGAGAAACCTACAGCATAAATAAGAGGAAAATATAAATAAGCCATTGGAAAATCATGCATATGGTTGAACAGAAGAACAAATTTTTAGATAAAAATTGGAGTACTGTTGGTTTGAGGATGTAGATAGCACTTAAGGCCAAAAGATGAATGAATGTGATCATGGATTGAAATTTCACTCCTTTATATCATTCCTTTCTATTGTATGGATACATACCACATTTTGACCATAACCAATGGTGAGGCATTTAGATTTTTAACAAGAAAGAATAAGAAGATGGAAGTGTATATAGTAGGGATTTGTGTGAGAAGATACATGAGCTCTCCCCTGATTGATACCGTTTTCTCAGTGTGGTGTGATATTTTAAACTCAACAACTCAGAAGTAGCTTAGAGGGTATGGAAGGGATATTTGAAAAGAGGAAAGAAATAAAATAATCATCTGGGAGAGCAGAAGCATACTGGGCAATTCAAATGCCCATTTGACATAAAATAAAAATGTATAGTTTCTTTAGCAATATCTGTATAGGAATGGAGAAAGAAGATATTTCTATTTAATTTGGAACCCAAATAGAATTTTCTAGACAAGTTTGATAGGAGAAAGAAACAGAATGGAATAATATTGAGATAACTAAACTAGTTAGGGAGGAAAGTGAGAATACATTCTAATGAACAATAGGTATGTGTTGAGGTCAAGTGAACTAGAGATCTCAGCAGGGTGGAGGAATTGGTTCAGTGACTGTATTAACATGGATAAATCAGAAGTGGTGATAAAGTCTAGAATGTAAACTATGTGAGAAAGGATTGGTTAAGAAAGAACAGAAGGAAAGGGTTGCAAAAACTGAGAATGCTGTTGRTTTTTTAGCCATATGGATGTTGATATTAATGAGAATGGTAGCAGGAGTTGGGGSAAGTCCAAGAGCAGGTTCGTAATTAGGAGATGGTCAATGAGCAAAAGATGGTAGCAAAATAAGTAGTATAAGCTTCAAAGAAGCAAGTATCATAAGGAAATATTCTAGAACTGATAATTGGCAATAATATGAAGTTCTTCCACCTCTTTGAAAAGGTTGTATGAGAAATGATGTGTCATGAATTAGTTAACACATTAGTTAACACATAAAGATAAAAATTAACTCTTTTAAGAAATGTACTGTTTTAATGCCATATTTTTATTTTTATTTTTAAAACAGACTTAAACCGGATTGGGTTTTAAGAAGAGATAGTATAGAAGAAATCACCAATTCTTTGCAAGCTATTCAAATGGTGATGGATACACTTGGCATTCCTTATCAGTAAATAAAAACATTTTCAGTTTGTACAGTATAAAGAAATATTAATGTTAATCATGAMTATGTAAAGTGCTTTTTGCTTTCTATGTACAACTTCTAAAATCTGACTTTGTATTAAAAATAAATATGTATATTACAAATAACTAAGCTGTTTATTAAGTTCTTCATTGTTTTTTATTTAATATAGCTGTATGCATATAACAAATAAATATGTCATAAGATGATTATAATACTGTTACTCATGTCTATTAAAGTATTATATTAGTTTGAATGTAGTCATATTACTAAAAGGAAAGGAATCAATTATTACCTGTTTTATTGATAAGCAAAAGCATTTTACTAAAAACATKTTGAAAGTCAAAGATTCTATCTATTCACTTAGAAAATGAGAAGAGCATAAAATATTCCCACACATGTGTATGGATAATGTACTAATTTGTATCCTTCACTGGCTAAARCATCCAGAGAGGTAAATGAGCTTCTCTAGGGAAATTATAAGAATATAACCCCTTAACTTTGAACTGATTTTAATTCGGATTATAATTTATAGTGGGAAGAGAATAGTATTGCTTTAAAAGAAACTTGTTGTTCATTTACATACTACAAATTAGAAAGTTATTTAGTTTGAAAGTTACTTATTTTGTAAACTTTAGGTGATTGACATCTGTATCTATGTGGCTCCAKGGCCACAGAAGTCTGATAGGACCCCAAAGTTTTCCATGCATGGACACTATAAAAATTTTATCTGTTTGAAATAGTAAGTAAATCCTAACTAGCCTAAAATTGTCTGCCTATGTTATAATTTGCATCTCAGGTGTCCTCCAAAAGCTCTTGTGTTGATGCTGTAATGTTCAGAGGTGAAATGATTAGACTATGAGAGCTAATCAGTACATCCTAGTTTGAATGGACTCACTCGGTGGTAACTGTAGGCAGTTGAGGCAGGCCTGAAGGAAGTGAGTCACTGGGGATATGCCCTGGAAGGGTTCATCTTCCCTGAAACCCCTTCTCTCTCTCTGCTTTCTGGATGCCATGAATAGAGCAGTGCTTCTCTACCACACCATTCTGCCATGATCTTTGCCCTCACCTTGGGCCCAGAGCAATGGAATTGGCTGTTTTTAGACTAAGACCTCTGAAACCATGAGAGCCAAATAAATCTTTCCTCTTCTAAGTTKTTCTTGTTGGATATTTTGGTCACAGTGATCCAAAGCTAACACAACTTATAWTTTGGTTAAGATAGATCTAAACATATTGATGTGTTCAAAAGYATATTCAAATATGATGGAGATTTTTGTTTCCCACTCTTTTTTTTTCCTCAATGAAGTGTCAGTACTGAGTGTTTTTCAAACATTTTAATTTTTATTGACTTTCTCATTGTTTTGTTTTCCTTCATTCAACAGAGCTTTACTATAAATAATCTATTTACTTTGGTAAATTATATATACTTCTAGGATTTAATTGGCCAGCATATAAACATTAATGGTGCTAATTTCTTATAAATATAACCAACTAGTAATTGCACAATAAATATTATGCATGCAAGAAAATGACTTCCTGATATTTAAATAGTTTTTTTTTTCCTTGTTGAATATTACACAAAACCAAAAATCTTTTGAATGACATTTAACAGTATTACTGAGCCAGGGAGCAGTAAGCAGTAACGTTAGTCCTACCAGGACTTCCCCTTTGCCCATTCCCAGGGAGAGGTGTTAGATTTAACAAGTAAGGAATTATAGAGCTGTTCCTGCACAACCCTGTTTTACTAYGTGGGGTGAAGTTGCAGTCTACTCTGCAATTTCCTTTATGGTTTATACACTGTCAAATTTAATGATAAGGATATTGTGTCTTGTGCATTACACAGAAGTACAATTCCCATCTTAAAACAGCTAGATAGGGTGAGATTTACAAAAAAAAAAATTGTTGGTTCCATACTTTAGGTATTGTGAATTGAACTGCTATAAACATTGATGTGGCTGTATCACYGAATTATGCTGATTTTCAGTTCTTTGGGTATAAACGAAGGAGTKCGACAGCTGGGTCAAATGGTAGTTCCATTCCAAGTTTTCTGAGGAATCTCCACACTGCTTTCCAAAGTGGTTACACCAATTTTCAGTCCCACCAGCAATGTATGAGTGTACCTTTTCCCCCACATCTTTAATAACACACTTATTATTGCTTTTATTCTTGATAATTGCCATTTGACTAGAATGAGATGAAATCTTAGAGTAGTTTTGATTTGCATTTCTCCAACTGCTAGCGATGGTGAACATTTTTTCATGTACTTATTGATTGATTGTATGTCCTCCTCTGAGAAGTGTCTGTTCAGGTCCTTGGCCCATTTATTGATTGGGTTATTTGTTTCTTTGAGTTCTTTATATATCAACAGATGAATGGATAAAGAAAATATGGTGTATATACACAATGGAACATTACTCAGCCTTAAAGAAGAATGAAATTATGGCATTTTCAGGTAAATGGATGGAGCTGGAGAATATCATGCTAAGCGAAGTAAGCCAAACCCAAAAAAGCAAAGGCCGAATGTTTTCTCTGATAAGTGGATACTGATCCATAATGTGGCGGGTGTGGTAGGGAAGAATGGAGTAACTTTGGCTTGGGCAGAAGGCAGTGAGAGGAGGGGATAGGAAGGATAGTAGAATGAGTCAGACATTATTACCCTATGTCCATATATAATTATATAATCTGTATAATTACATCATATACAACCAAAAGAAARGAGTTATATGCCATTTATGAATGCTGTGTCAAAATGCATTCTACTGTCATGTGTAACTAATTAGAACAAATTAAAAATAAATTGTTATAAGGTGAAAAATATAAAAAGCAGTGTAGTTGGGGCTGGGGYTGTAGCTCAGTTGTAGAGCACTTGCCTAGCACATGTGAGACACTGGGTTCAATCCTCAGCACCACATAAAAATAATAAAGAGAGTACACAATTTAATGTTTTAAAAGAAATACCCAATACTTAAAAAAAAAAAAAAAAAAGTGTAGTTGCATCACCACCCTGTAATTGCGTTGCATTCCTCGTTTTCACTTACCAGTCCTACATGCCCTTCCAGTRGAGTCTCCTCATTCTATCTCATACTCAGGTGTGAACACTTCATTTAATTAACTTGGCCAGCTTCCCATTTTATCCATCTCTTTTATGTCCATTTCAATTTTCGGTAAGACTCCTTTAAATAATGCAATATGTTTTTTGCATATTTATTTACATCAACAGCATCCTGAARAGCACTTTTGCTATGGTCACGCATAGTTTTAAACACTCGAAATGACTAGTGCTATTTCATTGAGGTTTTAATTTCCATTTCCCTAACAATAATGATATTGAGTATTTTTGCGGGGTTTTCATTTACATGTCTTTGGTGAAAGTGTCTATCAAGTCTTGCACATTGAAAAAATTGACTGTACTAAGTTGTGAGAGATCTTTAAATCTTTTTGAACACAAGTCCTTTATAGGATATGAGAAGTACAGAAGTTTTTAATTTTTATGAAATCCAATTTGTCTTTTTTCTTTTACTGATTATGCTTTCGGTGATATAAAATCTCTGCTTAACCCAAAGACATAAAGATTTTCTATTACATTTGTACTGTTTAGTTCATTGATCCATTTCAAGTTAATTCATTTAAAAAGACTATTCTTTCTCCATTGAATTGTATTTTTTTTATGATCTGGCTTCTTTGGTTTGCAAAATGTTCTTTGGACCACATGGCTATTGTTCCACATACATATGAAAAAAAATATCCTGCTGTTGTGTAGAGTGTTTGACAAACCCAATTCAGGCAAATTAGGTGATAGTGCTATTCAAGACTTCTGTCTACTTACTACCTGTCTTCTTTTACCAGTTATTGATAGAGGGTTGTAGTAATTGCAGATTTGTCTATGTCCCCTTGAATCAAAAACCAATTAACTGAATGTATTTTGGAGCTCTCTTATTCTGTAAACTTCAAGGTTGTTTTGTTGTCTTAATACATCTACTAATCTAATTATGGAATGATCTAGTTTCTTAGTAACTTTTTTTGTTGTAAAATTTTGCTTGATATTTATATAGCAACTCCAGTTCCTGCTCCCTTTTTCTCTCTGTCTCTGGCCACCCCCCCCCCATTCCTATGTTTAAAATGTTTTAATTGTGGTAAAACACATGTAACATTTTAACCATTTTTAAGTGTGTGCAGTTTATTGGTATGACATGCATTCACATTTTGGGTATTCTAATTCTGGTTTGCATAAGCATGTATATTAATTTCTGAGGGCTACTATTACAAATGATCACAAATTTATTGGCCTAAAACAGCAGAAACTTATTCTGTTTGGGAGATCATTGGTCTGAAATGAAGATGTTGGCAGGGCTGCAGCCCTCAGGATCCAGGAGCGACTGTCCCTTGCCTCTTCAAACTTTGTTGACTCCTGGTATATTTCTGGGCTTCTGGCTACATCACTACAGTTTCTGTCTATAGTCATATTGCCTCTTTCTCTTTATTTAATCTCCTCCTGCCCTACTTTTCAAACATATGTCATTGAGTTTTGGGTACACAATGGTAATCCAAGGTATTTTCATCTCAAGATTCTCAACTTACTTATATCTACAAAGACCCTTTCTCCAAATAAGATGACATTCAAAGGTTCTAGAATTTGAACATTGAAATCTCTTTTGGAGGTCCCCACCCAATCTACTATAATATAGTATACCCATCCACATTTTACTTTTAACCTATCTGAATCTACTCTAACAATTGTCCATTTAATTGGAGCATTTAGACTTATTATAGTTATTGTGATTATTAGTATGGATGGTTTAATTCTTCTCCCTGTTCTTTTTTTCCTGTTCATCCCATCTGTTCCTTTTTTTCTGKTTTTTTTTTCCCTCTTTTGGATTGATTGAATAGTTTTTGTGATCACAATTTATCTACTTTATTGGCTATAAATATTTGTCATGTTATTCTGTTATTCTGTTGGCTGCTTCGAGGTTTTTAGTAAACATCTTTAACTTAACACACTATCTCTAGTAATATTATACAACTTTATATACATTATTAAAGATTTTCCAACTTAGGGCTGGGGCTATAGCTCAGTTGGTAGAGTGCTTGCGTTTCATGCACAAGGCCCTGGGTTCAATCCCCAGCACCACACACACACAAAGAAAGATTTTCCAATTTATTAAATTTATTCCTYCCCTGCCTTTGGATTGTTATCAATAGTTTACTTCTA